ACTCTGATCTCCAATAAACCACTGGAAAACTGGAAGTGGTGATGTGGCTCAAGAGGTAGAGCGCTCGCCTTGAGCTGAAGAGCGCAGGGATAGTACCCAGGTCCAGAGTTCAAGCCACATGACCAACCAAAAAAAAAAAAAACAAAAACCATTCTGACTTTTGCCAGAGGTCTTGTCCATTGTACATAATGAGTAATAGCACTTTTGAAGACCTAATTATTTTCCAGAAATTAATTCTTGAAGTTTGAAGTTAGTCACCTTTGAAAACTGTGCTGAAACTTACAAACCTGGAGAAGTTGGTATACAGTAGAATATTGTTATACTCATTTATTCAGTAGCAATAGTCAGTATCATTTGCAATAAAGTATTTGACAGGCTTTATTATTCTCTGGATGAAAAAATCAGATTGTAGTTCTGATGTTTGAAGACTGTCATAATAGTAACAGACTATCTTAATGAGAGATGTAAACAGAAGACTTGAAAAAGATTGGAGAATTTGACTAGCCACTATTTGCAATAAATACAAATCTAAGAGCTAGAACAGCAAGCATTAGGATCGTAGAAAATCTGAAGAGTGGGCTAGGATGGTGGCTCAGTGGTAGAGTGCTTGTGTTGCATGCATGAGGCCCTGGGTTCAGTTCCTCAGTACCACATAAGCAGAAAAAGCTGAAGTGGTGCTGTGGCTCAAGAGGTAGAGTGCTAGCCTTGAGCTGAAGAGCTCTGGGACAGTGCCCAGGCCCAGAGGTCAAGTTCCACGACCAAAAAAAAAAGTCTGAAGAGCAGGTTGGTGCTGATGGCTCACTCCTGTAATCCTATCTACTTAGGAGGCTAAGATCTAAGGATCACAGTTCAAAGCCGGGACTCTTACCTCCAACCACGAGAAAACTGGAAGTGGTGTTGTGGCTTAAGTGGTGGAGCTCTCGCCTTGAGCTGAAGAGCTCAGGAACAGTGCCCAGGCCCAGAGTTCAAGACCATGACCGACAAAAAAAAAAAAAAATCTGAAGAGCTATGGCAATAGAAATTTTATGATTTAAATTGAATTTCCAAGGGGATACCTTTCTTTAAGGAATGAAAGTTAATCTCATATGTTTCATCTTAAATGTAACTCAGGAGTAAGTAACTGTCCCTCTAGAAATCTAGAACCGTAAGGAGTCTCCTTTTGTAAATGATTTCCTGCAACCTGTTTTATGCATAGCAGTGGAACCTATTTCTTTTGGAGTTAAGGAAATTCCCTTTGATATACACAGTTCTTACTGCTCTCCATTGGAAGATTATTTAGGAACTTTGGTTTCCTGTGGCTCAGCTTTCTCTCTTTATAATGGTGACTGATGGCTTTGTGGGAAACACAGGCAGGCCCATGACAGTCTTTGCCTGCTTCAGTTGCAGCAGTACCAGTACTATAGTGCAGGCTTGCTCTCCACGTATGACCCTTTCTATGAACAACAGCGACACTTACTTGGACCCAAAAAGAAGAAGTTCAAAGAAGACAAGAAACTTAAAGGTAACGATGTTGAATTGCCTTTCACTTTTATTCTTTCTTACTTTGAAACTTGTGTGTGGCTTCTTGGTACATTTAGACTTTAAATGTAGCAGCTGCTTTTCTGAAAAACCCTAGTTTCTCCTTTCTAATGAGTAGTAGTATAAGCCACATTTCACATTCAGAATCAACTACATTCCTTGCCAAAGACTTAGGAAAATTAGTTTACTTTTTTCTTTTGCATACTTTGTCAGTGTTGAAAATATTAATAGGAAAAGTCGATTTTATATAGGGCATAAGATGAGTAGCTTTAAATGTTTGGAGTAAGTTGTAATTGTTGGTGTTTGAGGTGCTTTAAAATAGATTACCTCCTGAGGTGCCCTGTAGATAATTCCCTATAGCAGTTTGAAACCAGGAAAGAAACTGGATAAGAAAGTTTTAAACTGTAGGCATAGGACAGATTTTATTCCCCTGAAGGTATGAATTCTCTTAAGTCTCCTCGCTGCCCTTGGGGCTTGAATCCAGAGCCTGGGCTCTGTTCCTGAGCCTGTCTTGTGCTCACAGCTAGTGCTCTACCACTTGAGACAAGAGTCACTTCCTGCTTTTTCTGTTTATTTGGTTGTGATCCCAGGGTTTCATACATGCTGGGCAAGCCTTCTGCCACTAAGCCACATTCCCAGCCTGTATGTCTCTTAACCTTGCCTTCTTTTTCCCACATCCTCCTTTTGGGGTGGCGGGGGGAGCAGGGAATGAATACCAGGACTGGGGCTTGAATTTAGATCCTTCAGTTCTTTTTTTTTTTAATACTTTATTATTATTTTAGAGGTGATATATATTAGGGTCATATTTATATACATCACGTAATAAGTACATTTCCTTTGTACAGTGTCATCTTTTCCCTCATTCTCTTCCATTCCCTCTCTCCCATCTCTACCCACAAGTTGCAGAGTTCACTTTGATCAATGTCCACTGCACTCCACTGCAGCACTTTGTCACCCTTTTTCTTCAGATTCTGAGCTTTGCATCTACCCTCCCACAAATGTGCATATGATCGATTCCTCAGAAAAAACAAATTAAGAAAAAAAAGTCCCCTTTTTTTGGGGGGGGGGGATTGGGAAGGTGACTCAGTGGTAGAATGCTTGCCTTGCATGCATGAGGCCCTGGGTTTGATTCCTCAGCACCACATGAGCAGAAAAAGCTGAAAGTGGTGCTGTGGCTCAGGTGGTAGAGCACTAGCCTTGAGCTGAAGAACTGAGGGACAGCGCCATGCACAGAGTTTAGGCCCCATAGCCAACAACAACAACAACAAAAAGGCCTTTTTCCCCATATTTTTGGAGTTCATTTCAGTATGTATATTTTATATACATGTGAAAAGGTGCTTAGGCATTTCACCTTTGTGATTCTCTCCTAAGACTATCCTCTTTTGGTCTCACTGTATGTGAGTATCTAGAATCCTCTGTAATTTGTCATATCCCAGTGTGTTTTAGATCAATACTTCAGTTCTTTCTTGACTTTTTTTTTGCTCTAAGCCAGTATACTACCACTTGACCCACAACTCTACTTCTACTTTTTTTTTTTGGTAATTAATGGGAGATAAAAGGCTTATGGATTTCTCTGCCAGGGCTACCTTCAAACAGGGATTCTAAGATCTCAGCCTCCTGAGTGGCTAGGTTTATAGGCATGAACCACTGGTGACTGACTTAGTTTCCTCTGTGTACGTGCACACGTGTGCTGGTCCTGGGACTTGAACTCAGTGTCTTGGTACTGAGCTGCTTTTGCTCAAGGATAATGTTCTATCTCTTGAACTACAGTTCTATTTCAGATTTTTTAGTGGTTAATTGGTTCAGAGTTCTCTGCAAGGGCTGGCTTCCAAACCATAATCCTCAGGTTTTTACCTCCTGAGTAGCTAGGTTTATAGATAAGAACCACTAGTGCTGTCTTCATTCATCCCTCCCCCATCCCCTCCCTTTTCCTCCCTCCCTCACTCCCTTCCCCTCTTTCTTTTCATTCTTTCTTTTTTTTTTTTGTCGTTTGTCATGGGGCTTGAACTCTGGGCTTGGGTGCTGTCCCTGCGCTCTTCATCTCAAGGCAATCACTTTTACTGCTTGAGCCACAGCACCACTTGGTTTTCTGGTAGTTAATTGGAAATAAGAATCTCACCAACTTTCCTGCTGAGCAGGCTTTGAACTGAATTCCTCAGATCTCAGCCTCCTGATTAGCTAGGATTACAGTCCCGAGCCACTGGCACCTGGCCATTCTTTTTTTTTTTTTGTCGGCCGTGGGGCTTGAACTCTGGGCCTGGGTGCTGTCCC